TATGCTGTGAGTATAGTTGCTGACATCATAAATCCAAATTACTTTCCAATTCTGATTAGATACCAATGTAAAAACTATTTTTATCTCTAACTTAGTGGAGATCTTCACATTAATCGTAATACCTAAACCCATGGGCTCACAAAACCTCTTCCCCCATTTTAAACATGAAGGATAGGAAGAAGCCAGGGAAGGCACACAACATAACTCTAAGCTATGTCATGAAGCATGCATAAAAATTTACCATGAGAACTGGAAAAAGAACGCCATCAAGCAAAAGTCACAGCATGTATAAAAGCATAACCAGACATGGGGCTAGACCAAAACATATGGCATTCAGAAAACCATAATATGCTGGCACACCTTCAAGCTGATGTCCTTATACATCTGTTATAAGAGCTACTTCATTGGATAAACTGTTTTATATTATTGTATATTAATAAAACTAAATACATGACAGGTTCACTTATTAATTCACTCCTGCTAAACTAAAACATGTCATTTTTCTGATAAAGACCAGAAAATTTCTCTTATTTTTGATCTGTCTTATCTTTTACTCTGATGCCCCACCCAACTTCTTGAGTATATATACAGAATAAATGTAAATCTTCTATATTCAAGGACAAAGGACTAAACATGGAAAATGGTACCCTGTCTCTGATTTATTGTACTGATATTTTTATGCACCTAACAGGACAGCCCTGGACATCTCAGTTGTTCCTCTCCTGTTAGGTTCCCTCTGGTTAGATTGTACAGTGTGAAAGGCAGGGTGCAAATATGAGGCTGAAAAGGTTGACAGGGAGTAGGTAATAAGCATGCTTACCAGTCATGAGGAGTATGTACTGTTCCTTAAGAGAAATGAGGAATTATTGAAAGGATTAAAGCAGAGGAGTATCATGCCTATTTCAAAATGCATTTATTTACTCTGTTTCTGAGGGGGGGGGGAGTGAGTAGAGAGGGGTAAAAATCTGAAAAGTGGACAAAACTATGAGACTGTTTTTTGTAAACCAAAACTTATCCTTGAAATAGGATAACAGTGGAAATGGAGGGTGGTACACATTTGAAAGAGTTAGCAACTATTTAGAAATGAAGGAGGAGAGAGGAGTAATTAAGAACATATCTTAAAGTTTCAACCTTGGGCACCCGATAAATAAAAATACTACACACTAAGATGGTATATAAAGGCACAAATAGGTTTGGTATGAAAATCTTAAGTTCAGTTTTATACATATGGAGCTTTGTACTTACAGGACATCAAAATGAAAATACTTATTAATATGTCTCAGATCATGAGAAAGACCTGGGGTGAAGACAGATATAGGTAGCCCCATGAAACAGAATCCAAAGGATGGATAAGAATATCTAGGAAAAGTACAGTAAGCAGAAATACATAGAAAGATCTAGAGAACTCCCCTGAGCATCTCTTACATTAATTGGTGTGAAAGAGGCTAAGGAGAAACCCCCAAAGATAATGGAAGAAAAAACTATAATGGCTTCAAAAGGCAATAATTAGTTCACAATGTGCAATGCTAAAAAAGGAGAGATGGACTCATTAAATTATCAAGAAGCTTGTGAACTTGTTGAGAACAGTTTTAGTGAAGATTAAATCCAGCTACACTTACTGGCCATGTGAACTCATGTCAGCCACTTGATCAAATCTCATTTTCTTCCTCTGTAAGATAGGAAAAATGCCTTCCCTATCTACCTTGTGGTATTGTTATGAGGATAACATATCATAATATATATATATGCAAGTACTTTATAAACTTTAAATACAAAGTACAGACTACTGTTAGAGCAATTGTATTCTTCTGAGCAGTGTTCACAATCGTCAGTCCTCTGTTTCATTCACATGACAAGCTGACCTGCACTGACCAATATAATGTATCAGAAGGGGCTCACCTGCAAGGCCAAATGCATAGTTTAACATGTTCTCTATTCCCTGTTCTCTATTCCACTACAATTATTGAAGCATGTTTCAAAACAAATTCTTCCTAAGCCCTAGATCTTTCAGTAACTGCTCTGAGGAGAAATCTCTGGCTAACTCAAGATAGGATGTCACAAAGGGACAATTAAATGTTCTTGATTTTAAACACCAAGATTTTGGAAACATAACCACAGCAACCAATTATAGTGTAAACAAGAGTTTGAAAATAAAACCAAAAGAGCCAAGTGTAAAATATCATCTTAAGGGGCAATTAATGAGACCTCCTGGAGGTAACACACACACCAATGTACCAATTTTTATTTATAGCACAGTAACTCACTAATTCTCCACCCTTGATTTAGAACTCTTACACACACAAAAGGTGAAAATAACAATAAGCTTGCAAAAGAGGATTTCAAATGGAGAAAAGCTGAACAAAGGTAAGACAGTCTATCAATGAGAAGAAACTGCCTTCCCTATCACCATACTTATATGCTATGGTTTGTACCTCAAATTTCTGTACTCTGTAGCAAGCATACTCTGCATGTAAATGGTTGGCTAGTTATATATTCATAGTGAGCCAAAGACAGCCTACCCAAGTGAGTTACTAGAAATAAACAGAAAATACAACTAATATCTTAGTCCATATGTGCTGTCTTAACTAAGTATCTGAAGCTAGATCATGTATAAAAAAACTGAAATTTATTTTCTAACAGCTTTGAAGCCTGGAAAAGCCCAAGAGCAAGGCACCAATAGGTTCAGTTGTTGCTGAGGACTGCTCTCCACTTTCAAGATGATGCCTTCCTTCCGCAATCTCCAGAGGGCAATGCTGTGCCCTCACGTGCAGAAGGCCAAACGGGATCAAAAAACTGCTTGAAGCTTTTTTTATAAGTGTTTTGGTTCCGCTTGCATGGCAGGAGCCCTCACAGGCAGGAACCTAAACACATTTTAAATATCCCACCTCTTAATACATCACACTGGCAACACCTGAATTACAGAAGAGACACATCCAAACCGTAGCAGTAAATACCAGCACCAAAGACTAGACTATGAAGGAGTAATCTTTTTTTAGTCTTCAATTGTTAACAAAAAAAAAAAAAAAAAAAACTACAGCTGCCAAATGCCAAATTACTGTTTGACATGACTAAATGGAACATGTGTGCTGGAAAATAGCAATTACTCAGAATCAAGGACAGAAGTAGAATCCAGGTCAGAATGGATCATACAAGGACCCACTGGACCAGACTATTCACGCTGAAACCCCCCTCCCACTTCTCTATTCTGGCCTTTGTCCCCCTTGTTAGTTTTGACAAACCATGAAAGATGACTGTAATTGTTTCAATCCCAGTGGAGCTCAAAGTGAAGTACATTAAACACTAAACAAAAGATGTTTTTCTGCTTGTGACTATTTAAAGGGGGACTGGAGAAGAAACAGAACATTTCCACCAGTATTCTTTTAGAATATCTCTATATTCTTTTAGAAATCTTTATAAGATCATTCTACAAAGCAAACAACTAAATTAGTCATTCTTACTATATTAGCACATCAAAAAAAAGTCTCACCTTCACCTTTAATTACCTTGTTTTACTCTAAAATTTTAGTATCTTTAAATCAAATCCAGTCTTTAAATCTGAAACTTATGTGGTAACTCCAAAATCATGTATGTACTTCATCTTCCGAAAGTAATTTCACAAGACTGCTCCCCAATAGTTTACATAATGGCATTGTCACCTGATTAAGTGAGCAACAGTCCAACATGGTACTTTGAGGAGGGCTCATTCATTATGCCATGTAAATTCTGGAATGAGCTGTATATTGCTGTCCCTTTTCAATCTCTATATAGTAGTGTTTGTGTTCATAGGAGCTTCTTTAAGAGATCTTGAATTGAATACAGGTAACAACATGTCAACGTTGGGACATGAATTTAAGTTGTGTTTTCAATCCACAAATCAATTCACTTTGGTTACTGTCAACGCTGCTTCATGTCACTAGCTAGATATTTTTCTATGACTTAAAAAAATTGCCTACTTATAGCCTGTTGCCAAGGGAGTTTTCATTTTGTAGTGACTGTGCTTAACAAGCAAGTGTGACACACACCAGTAATCCCAGTACCCTGAGAGTCTGGGGCAAAAGGATCCCACGTTCATGCCCAGCATGTACAATTTAGCAAGACCTTTTCTCAAAAAGGGATGGGGACGTGGCTCAGTGGGAAGGTCCTGAGTTCAACTGACCCTTGTTTCACTGGAAAAAGAAAGAGCAGACACTAAGTCACAATGGGCTCACCTCACAAGTGAACATTACCTAACACAGCCAGTATAATAGCTACTTTAATTTTTTAAAACTGCCTTTTTGAGTAAATTATAATTGGTAAATACTGCTAATCAGTAATACATCAATATACTGAAGCATGGTGGGAGATAAGCTGAAATTAAGTATCCTCAGGCGCCCTTTAGAAGTTTGGCTTTCCTCACTTCTTCCAGATGGCAAGGTCAAATATGACAAATTGTTGCATAACATTTGCTCATCAGTGTTGGCTCAAGGGAGGAAAAACTGATTAGAATAGGTTTAATCTTCCCTGAAAGGTGGAATATTAACAGGAACAAGAATATAGTGTGTCCCTAACAATACTGTTCCATATAAAATCACAGTATGGGGCTATGAACTAAACTGGAAAGTTCTGAAGTCACACTTATGCTCTCCGCGTGTCACGGCCACGCTCACTCACAGGACACACTGGTGTCACAAGACCTGCAGTGGCAATGGCCCCACTCTCCAGGGGCAACAGGAGAAAGGAGCTCTGAAAGCAAAGCACGTACTCCACGGCGCAAGACCGCTGATTAACAGGAAGTGAACAGGGGTTGAGAAAAGAAGTTTGCCAAAGGGGGCAGTTGAGAGCCCACAACTAGCAAAGGCAGGGAGAGCAACGCCCCGCCCATCAAACTTCCTCTCCGCGGGCGATGGGCGGCGACGGCGCGCGGGAGGGGACAAGCTGGGCGAGGTGAGGCGGAGCGAGCTTCCAGCGGCTCCTGGAAAACGAGCTGCTGGGCCAGGGAAAGTGTCCAGGTTGGGGGGTACCTGCGCTGGAAGTCCGTGGCGTAGGGCTTCAGATACGGGTCATTCTCCAGAAGGTGGCACAGTTCGGGCACGTCCGCCAAGGCGACAGCGAGCTCCGCTTCCGAGGACTTGCCCTGAGAAGCTGGAGGTGCGGAAGCCGCCATGTTCCGCCGCAGCCCGTGTAGCCGAGATCCGAGAGGATCGAGGAGAAGGCGGAGCCGGAGGCGAGCCTGGGCGAGCCGCGCGGCCAGGCTCCTTTATAGCCCGCAGGGTTTGCCCTCGCTCCCCCTTCCTGGGCCGGGGTTGGGGGGTAGGAGGCGCCGAAGCTTTCTGGCCACTCACGCGGCTAGCACCGGAGGCCAGGAGGACCTACCCTCCTCCTCAGCCCTGGAGCCACCAGAAGGCGGGTCCAGAGCGGACTTGAGCCCTGCCCTCTCCCACTGAGCGGCCGCTTTTCTTGAGCGACACCACTAGCGCGGTACCCTTGAAGTGGATAATGTACGTGGTTTTCTTGGAAGAAACTCTCCTCTATTTTTTTTTTTTTTTTTTTTTAGGGCAGTGTCTCAAAAAAAGTAAATTCACAGGAAGGGGAACAGTCAAGTGTAGATAAGTAATAGTGTTAAAGATTTTAATGTCACTTCTTACTGAGGACTCTCTAAAGTGTGCTGTTCTCATGAGTTTCACCAAGTTAGAATATTTTGGAAGACAAACTGACACTCTTGTACTATGCTCTAAACAATGCCAAAACTTTTCCCACTCCCCATAGGGCCAAAAAAAGAAAAGGCATGTATTTGTCTTTGGTAATAATTGTACAAGCTTTTCAATGATTAATCTTTGATGAGACATGACAGAGAAAATCATTAAATTGGAATTACACTCTGCTGCTTACAAACACTGATAAAGCAAGAAACCTCGGTTAGTTCCCAAGTCTTCCAGTCCCTTAACTGACTTTTACTTCAGTGATTCTTTATTAAAAACAGAATAGGACAGTAGGAAAAATGTTCTCACCACCTCAAGAAGTTCTTAGCTGCTTTGTGCCTGGAAACTGAACTAGCTTAAGGATATCTTTCTCAGTACTTAGGAATGGAGAATCCCAGGGTTTGTGGAGGAGAAACAATATTGATTAGCCTTGGGCTTTTGAGTTTTAAAACATTCAAAACTAGATATTTTGTGAAGAATTTAATAGAGACGTGAAAGATACTTGCAGTCCAGAGGACTATGTGAATGACTAGAGGTCTTAGATAACTCTGAGGCATAGCTTATTTTCTGTAAGTACAACAAAAAACATGCAAACGTTTGTAAAATATTAGAGCACTAAAAAAACAAACACTTTAAACCCAGAGGCAGGGACTGAATAGATTCATACTTGTGTATTTTTGATCCTAAGCTTTTTTCAGAAATCCTGACTTGCATCACCTCATACTGAAGATATCTATTTAGCTGGTTACGAGAAATAAACTAATCCCACAACATAACCTAAAATCAGTGTTCTCATCTTTGTGTTATCTTTTTCAAACAGACTGCTATCTTTTCTCACTTGGACCCATAGCATAGCTCTAACCAGTTTCTCTTCTACTCTTTCCCACCATAACCCATTATCTATACCAGTTTTCCTCAAACTTTAAAGTGGGTGTGAATCACCCGAATATATTGTTTGAAGTACCATTCTTAGTTATGGGGTGATGATGTCTTAAGGCATTTTTAACAAGTTCAGAGGTGATACAGCCCCTGCTGGTTGGGAATAATTTCACTAGGCCGGCTCTATACACTGTAAGTCGTAACAAAAGAAATTGATCACTTCCCTTAGTTCTGGAGACTAAAATCTAAAGTCAGAGTGTCAACAGGTTTGGCCCCTTCTTAGTGCTTTAAAGCAGAATTGTCCCATGCTTCTCTCCCAATTTCTGAAAATGGGTCACATCTTTGCCCCATAGATACATCACTCAAGTCTCTACATCGGCTTCACATGGCCTTCTTGTGTCCCCATGTCATCACATGTTCTTTGCTATAATTGGCATATGGACTATCTCCCAAAGTCCAGTATGTTAAAGGCTTGGTTCCCAGTGTAGCAATATCAGGAGGTGGTAGAAATTTTTAAGTGGGGTCTAGTCAAAAGTCTTTGAATCATTCAGAGTGTGCTCTTGTGAAGTGCAGCCCTTTCCTCTTCCTTTATTTTTCTCCCTGACCATAAAGTGAGTAGTTTTGTGCTATTGTATGCTCCTGCCATGATGTGCTGCCTTACCACAGGCCTAAAAGCAGGACCAGCTAATTCTGGACTGAAGTATCTAAAACTTTGAGCCAAAATAAACCTTTTCTCTTTACCAGTAAATTATCTAAGGTATTTGTTATAGTGAGAGATAGCTGCCTAACATAGTGTTCTTTTTTTGTGTTTGTTTGTTTGGAATTAGAGATACTCCTTATTTTCACTGTGATCTCATCTTAACTAACATGTGCAATGATCCTATTTCTAAATATGGTCATATTCTGACTAGGATTTAGGACTTTAATATATAATTTTGAGGAAGGAGACGGTTCAAATCAGAACAGTATTAGAATGCAAAAAGAAAAGAAATATTTGGGAAAATGTGTAGGATTTGACAACTGATTGGATATAGAAGCAAAAGGAAGTTTAAAAAGAAAAGTCTTGGAACCTGGGTGAATTTGATCTTCTGTAAAAATAGCAAAGTCCTAGAAGAGGGAGAGTTCAAAGTGTTAAGTCCTAAACACACAAGTGTAGACGTAGGGCTGGAATTTTTGATGCCAAAGAGGACCTTTAGAAGCCAAGGATGCAATTAGAATACCATTCATGTATTTTCAATAATTGTTAGTAACAAATATTGGATAATCAATAAATTCTTTGAAATTGCTTTTTTTTGGTACTTGAGTCTCATACTACTTAAACCTTCTGTTACACTTTTTTAGAGTGCACCTTTTTTGTACTCTCAGAAATCAAAAATACTTTGTTAAGGTTTATTTTCTAATAGTTTGTATTATAAAACCAAAAGGTCATTGACAATGCTACAGCATAGATGAACTTTAACAGCATTATGCCAAAGTAAAAGAAGGCACTAACAAAAGGCCACATATTGTATGATTACATTTATATGCAGTAATTAGAATATGTGAATCTATAGAGACAAAAAGTAGAGTATTGGCTTTCAAGGGCTAGATAAAAATACAGTGGCTGATAATGGGTATGAGGTTTCTTCTTAGGATAATGAAAATTCAAAAATTGATTGTGGCCATGGTTGCACAGCCCAGTGGATATAGTAAAACTATTGTCATACCCTTTAAATAGATGAATTGTATGGTATATGAAATACATTTCAATAGACCTATTTTTTAAATACAGAAAATCGCCAAGTACATAATATGAAATAAGCTTTTTAAAATTACATATTCCCCTAGTCATGGTGGAGGAAAATCAAAGGGCTGAAAGGAAATTCTGGAGAGACAAGTAAAAAACAAAATAACAGTTAAAAACAAAGTGTGATAAAGAAGAAGATGACATTGAAAAAACAAAGGAGAAATGTCAGAAGAAAATACGCATAAACTTTTGATCTTTAATGAGGTCACTGAGGATTTGGCCTCATAGTTTTGTTCATAGCCTCACTGCCTTCATGTTTGTCTTCTCATGGTCATGAAATGGCTGCCATAGCTTCAAGAATCATTCCTTTATGAGACCACATGTAAACGAAAGAAAAATCAGTGCTTGTGGGGACATACCCTTACAGACTGTATCTTGTCCCTGGCCCTTTTCTCTCTGACTCACCCTTTCTGCTTTCTGGCTGCCATGATTTGAGCAGCTTTCATCTGCTATCCCATTCTGGCCTGATGTTTCTGCAATACCACAAGCCTAAAAGGATGGAGATAGCCACTCATGGGTTAAAACCTCTGAAACCATGAAATGAACTATATCGTTCCTCCCTTAAGCTGATTTTCTTAGATACTTTGTCACAGTGATGAGAAGCTACTATAGCACCTTTCTCAAAACTGCATAAAGATACTGTATGGGTAAGTAAGTAGCCCTGCCCTTAGTGTGTCCCCCTCACCCCCACTTCCTGTCAATAGTACTCCTCTTGCTTCATTACCAAATTCTTAAGAAATCTACTGCTTAATCCATTGTGAGTTCTGTGGCTTGTGACTGCATGTAGCCCCTATGGGATAAGAAAGAAAACAAAGACAAGGAGATTCCTGAACAATGCTGAGAGAACAGCTAAGGTAAGACATGAAACATCTGGAATAGTGGTAAGTGTTCCAATCACTAGTTTTGGTTTGGCACTGTTTAATTCACTGCTTATTTAATTAAGCTCAAAGAATAGATGTTTGAATAAAGCTAAGATTGGAGATGTTTAGGGTGAGTATAACAAAAGGTCAGTAAGGCCAAGAAACTTCTAATGCTAGTAAGGATGTTATACAGGTGCTTATCTGTGGAATTCAGCTAATAAGGATGGTATAACAATAAAGAAATCACAGAAGATCTTTTTCAGACAAACACTTAGCAAGGATGACCAAAACAGTTGGTACGAGGAAATTTGTGATCTAGACTAAGTGAATTCTAATCTCTATCACTTATAATATTGATAACGTTGACAAGTTACCTTATCTCTTTCTGCTTCTGCTTTCACTTCCTTTTTTTTTTTCTTGATACTGAGGATCAAACTCGGGACCTTGCACTTTCGAGGCAGGCGCTGACACCACTGCTGAATCCCTGGCCCCGTGCTTTCACTTCCTTAATAGCAGAATGTAGTCCTTAAATAAGAATATTTGATAAGGAGTTATTAGAATAATACCTGGCACAGAGTAGATCCTATACAAGTGTTAGCTATTATTGTGACTATTACCTTAAAAGAAAACATTTTTACCACTATCTGCATAATTTCCTGGTATTAATATTTAAAATTAATCAGTGATTCTGGATATGAAAAACTTAAGCATGGAAAAAAAGTGAAGATGGATAAGTTTTCTTATTTAATAGGAATTATGTTTTTTTTTGTACCGGGGATTGAACTCAGGACCTTGTGCTTCGGAGGCAGGTGGCGAAACCACTGAGCTAAATCCCTGGACTATAGGAAATATTTAATATGTAAAATTAAATACTTATGTACCAACCATTTCTATGGAAGTATGTCAAAGCTTTATGAAGATGGTATAAAAACTTTAATATGATTCATTAATGTATTCACAGTATTAGATTGTGTAAGTTAAAACTTAATGACAGCTCTACATAATATACAATTATATTAAAATGACATTTTAAGGTTTAAAATATTTTAAAATCCTATTATTCCTATTATTCCTCTTTTAATAGTATCTTACTTGAGTAAGGCATTTAATCAGATAGTTATTCCTTTAAATTTCTCCATAGGTGGGCCTAAAACTGAATGAGGCAGTGGTCAC